ACACAGGTCTCCTGCGTGCTTCAGTTACTATTAACCGGGAGGGTTGTGAGTGAGCACACCACAGGGACGCTCGTACATTCACGATTGTTGTTGCTCTGTGAAGCATGGAGATATGGAACCAAGATATCTACCGACAGATAAACAGATAGAGGACATGCTGTTCGGACACACAGTGGATTCATGCTTAGGCATGAAGAATGAAATCATGGTGTTTACAGAAAGCAGATGTAGCCCGAGATTATGTTAAGCAAAATAAAGCCAGATACAAATTTTTCCATTTTATGCAGAATCTGGATTTAAATCTATGTGTATTCAGAGTGTGTGCACATGTGTAAAGTGAAAGGGAATTAAGGGAGGGGGGACCTACAGGGGTGGGGTGACCTGTGAGAAGCATAAGCCAGGACTATTCGGAGGAAGGATGGAGAAGGAGAGAGGGCGATGATGGTAATTAATCACATTATGACGGTGTTTGAGCACGAGGGTGCTACAACGAAACCAACCATTCTGTATGGTAACTTAACAACAGAACGGAGGCCGCCTGTCCAGGGGGGGTGGGTGGGGCAAGACTCTAGGTGGAGATCAGAAGTGAGGCCAGCATAGGGTTTCTGCAGCCTCTCTGGCACTTTTAGGTTGGGTTAGGCAATATCCTCTTTGTTCAGATTGGTATCAGACTCTGAGAAAATTTTATTCAGTTGTAAAGTCCCAGTTAAATTCTTAGCTACAATCGGAGAAACGCAGCCTTTGATTACAACTCAAATTTCCCCAGTCCTCTGAAAGGCTGGGGGAGGGGAGCAGGTGTGGGAGGACATCTGATCTGTCCCAGGCTTCAGAGAGCCACACCGTGTCTGGGTAAGACAGCCCGATGTTCTGATAACACTGATAAAAGTAACCTGAAGGTTGGGTCGCAGGAAGCCCAAGATAAATGCTGAGAGGAAACAGGTTGTTTTTGAAGTAGCCTCTTCACCTCCACTTTCCCACACAAGGGCTCAGCTTCCGAAGGAAGACGGAATACCTGATTTGCTTTGCAAATCAAACGGTTTAAGGAGCAATTCTGCTAGTCCACTAATGTGCCTGAAGGCCCTGCCCCTCAGCCTGAAGCTCAGACCCCAAAGGCTTCAGAGCCCCTGGACTGTTCCTGCTGGACTTGGGCTCACGGTAATTCCCACTCATTCAGATACTGCCTAGTTTTACAATGGAACTGAGTGATTCACTGGAAAAGATGAGGGCAGGAAACAGCAATGGTAGCTAGCCTTTGGTGTCTACTGCCCGTGATCTCAGCAATCAGGTGGAGTCAAGATGATCAGAAGCTGAAGGTTACTCTTGTCTCTGTACAGAGTTGGAGGCCAGCCTGGGCTAAACAAGACTGTCTCAAACAAACAAAAAGCATTGGGGTGGGGGCCCCTAAGAGATGGCTCAGAGGTTAAGAGCACAGACTACTTTTCCAGAGGACTGGCATTTAGTTCCCAGCACCAATGCTGTGTGGCTCCCAAATGTCTGTAGCTCCAGCTTAAGGGGATCTGACGCTCCCTTCTGGCTTCCACTGGCAATTCCATTTATGGGCAAATACCTCCCGACCCTCACTCCCACCAAACACATAAATAAAAATAAAATCTTAAAAGCGGAGAAGGGACATGGCTGAGAAGACAGCTCAGCAAGTGAAGTGCTAAGTTTGGCCCAGCACCCATTAAGAAGCAGAGCATAGCAGCATCTGGCCTGGGGAGGCAGAAAAAGGACCATACCTGGGACTCCCGGGTCTGCCAGCCTGGCCTAACCAGTGGTCCCTTGGAGCGTAAGAACACCGCACCTGCACACACGCACACACGAGGTGTACTCATGTGCCTCCCCCCAAACTAATGCTATTCGTCTCAAAGAAAGGAGTAGGGAATGGTCAGCCAGGCCAGAGATAGGGAGGCCATTAGATCATCTAGTTCATTAAATTATCTAATTCATTAGATCATCTAGCAATGGAAAGAATTCTTGAGGGCTATGCAGACAGCTCGGCTGGGCAGTTAAGAGCACTGGCTGCTCTTGCAGGGCTGGAATTCAGCTTCCAGGACCCATAGTTCTAAGGGATCTGATGCCTTCTCCTGGGACTGTAGGCACCAGGCGCATTTACAGTGCGCATACATAGATGCAGGCAAACATGCAAACTCATAAAACAACTTAGTCCTTAAGAAGGAAACCGTGAAGCCATCCATTCCTAGAGGACATCAGGCTTTAGAGAACTTTGCTTTTGGGGGCTTGTCCTGGAGTCCTCTCAAGTGCCCAGTCATTGCCTCCCTCCCATAACCAAGAGTAATTCTGCCCTAGTTGTCTACGGCCTCAGACTCACTGGGGAAGTATGAGGGGAGATGGTGGCATCGGCACAGCCATGGAGAAGCTGGGACCCCAGTTGGGGGTGACATTCCCTGCACCTCCTTTCCAAGCTGGACTCCTGAAGATGGCCGCAGTCTGGCACAGAGGGGGGCTCTATAAAAGCTAGCAGAGAGAAGATTATCTGGGTAGAAAAGGGGGCCACCGAGGCAAGCAAGGGGGATGAATATGAGCAAAGCCTAGTGAAATGCATGTCTGAAAATGGCAAACAACACGCAGTCACTTTGTATGTTAACTTGGAATAAAAAAAAAGTTCTTTTAAAGTAATCATTAAGTCAAACCTTCTCAAGGCCCATGTTGAACTTCTTTAGCCTGTCTACCACACACATGGCAACTCATAACTGTAACTCCAGTTCAAGGGACCCAACACTGTCTGGTCAACACAGGCACACAGCACACACATGGTGCACACATGTGTAAGCAGACACAACAAAATAAAAATCTCTTAAAAGACAGTAGGCATTGGGAGGAATTTTATTTCTCATCTTATCATGCTGCATGTGCACACAACACTGATATATACAACTTAAACAAATACAATTTATACATAAAATACACCCAAGTGTAGTTTTTGAATTAACACAGCCAACTTATTATACAGTTTGTGTCCTGGTTGGTAACAGCAATACAGCAATGCTGCTCAGGTTTTCACGAATTCTAATTAGTCAAAACTGCAGGGTCAGCTCAAAGGCACTAGGAAAAACTGTGTTTTCTAGTAGTTAAAAGAAAAAGAACAAAGAAGAAAACAATTCTATATATTAAGACATGGGGGAGAAGGGTTGGGGTGTAGTGGTGCATAAATGTAATCCCAGCAATTGTGAGGTGGAGGTAGAGGAGGATCAGGAGTTCAAGGCCAGCCTGAGCTACATAGAGGGTTTGTGGCCAGCCTAGGCTAATGGGAGTCTATCTCAGAATGAAAGGAGGGAGGAGAAACTGGGTGGACACGGTGTGTGCAAATGTAAACATTGCCCATCCGTAACTCACAGCTCTATAGGAAAAAGGGTGTTCCTTGTGTTACGCCTTAAAAGGGGGCAAGGAGGATGGGACACATTCTAAACCTAAGATGAAAACAGAAACGTTACAACTGTAATCATGACTTTAAAACCATGTCATAGATGAAGCAACACCTTCCCCTGCAAAACAACCTTGATATTCCAACTGCCAAAAACACAAACTAGAAAATCACCTTCTCCAGAATGTAAACATCTTGTGGGAGGATCCTGTTGTCAGGGAAACACTGGCTGCACAGCCTTCCCTCGGCTAAGCCTGAACATCACAACAGACAGAGTGGAGAGCCTGGCTGTCAGAGCCAACTTCCTACTAGGGTTCCTTTCAAGTAAATAAATATTACTTTTTAAATTAAGGGGAAAAGGATACTCATCAATACCCTATTTACAGGTCTGTCCCACTCATTTAAAATCTGTACATTTATTTTAAACATTAAGCAAGTTTGTTCTTCATTTTTATCCATTCAAGAAATCAGCACTGAAAATACAAACTCCTCCTTTGTGGACAAAGACACAGTAAGTGAGGAGCAGTCAGTGCTGCTGTGACAGAAGTGGGTGTCCTACTGTCTTCAAACGGACCTCCCAACCTGGCAAGAATCTAACACGGTTTTCAGAAAATGAACCATGTCCGCCTGGTCAGAACAAATGCTTTCATGAACACACTGTTTGGTGTTAGGACATCACCTGTAATCATAGCACCTGGAGGCTGAGGCAGAAGAATCCTGAGTCCCAGGCCAGCCCTGGCTAACACCGAGAGATCCTATCTCAAAACAAGAAACAAGCAAGCAAACAAAATTTCTAAGATGTTTAGAGAATTTTCTCAATATTTTCAGTTTTTATGGAGTTATTTTGTTATTGTTATAGGTTTTAACACACCTTAGAGAATCAACATCTCTAATGTTTTAGTTTAATTCACAACAGATATTCCTTCCAGGCCAACTAAACTGTTACATGATAGAAGCACAGACTTTAAAATGAAAGCACATAGATTAATTTTCCTTACAGGTTAAATTAAGATTCTGTCATTACTAACAGTTAAATTTACACCATGAAGAAATTAGACATCACCAAGACGCTTGGCTCACATGAGCCTTTATGAGACACACACTCTGCTCAGTACGCCACAGTACCCAGGCCACTCACTACCTTGAGGACACTGCCACCGTGGCCACGGTCATATCTGCACACACTGCACATACAGGACACTCTCTTTCTGGAAGACTCCACATTTTCCATCACCTCACCAGGCTGCACCTCTACTCAGTCATTCACAGCCTACACACAGCTCTGTAATTATAAGCCATTATTTACCCAAACTTCTAAAATCATACTAACCTAGTTAATCCCAACTTGGGAAGTCTCAAAACCGTTGTAATCAAGAGCTTGGAGTGGTCGCACAATTTCAAACTTAGAAAGCATGATAGGTTTCCGAAGCATAAGAGCTCATAACCTTAAAAAAGTTTTATCGCCGGGCGGTGGTGGCGTACACCTTTAATCCCAGTACTTGGGAGGCAGAGGCAGGCGGATCTCTGTGAGTTCGAGACCAGCCTGGTCTACAAGAGCTAGTTCCAGGACAGGAACCAAAACCACAGAGAAACCCTGTCTCGAAAAACCAAAAAAAAAAAAGTTTTATAAGTAGACACCAAAAAAGCAAAAACATTTATTATAAAAATTTATTATAACTTATTTTACTATATATTGAATATAACTTTTTCGGAGAGGAATATGGCCTAAGTGGATTAACCAACAGAAGAAACTCAGAACAGTATTTTCTATGTATGTAAATGATATAAAGAATACGTATTCTTCTGGTTTAGCTTCATTTTCTGAAAAATGAGACTGGTTTCAATTTGTATACAGTCATTTCCATCAAAACTTAAAATGCAGCAATAGAATGTCTGTAAGCCGTATGTCCAGGGAAACCTTTAAAAACGTGTGTGAGCTAGGGTAGGTGGTCAGTGTTAGCTTTGGGAGGGAAACCAAGCCAGCAACAACAAGAAAGGCTAAAGTGAAAAAAAAAAAAAAAGGCTAATGTGGGTGGAGTTAGGGTGAGAGAAACTGGTGGAGGGTGGCCAGATGAAGCACATGCTCAAACTGTACCTTTAAAATGCAAACTGCAAAGCTGTCAAATTATACAATTTCTACAGGAGATCCATAAAATCAGTCATCTCATACCTAAATGCAACGAACATCAGTATAAAGTCAGAATGCACTGAGACAGACCTGCAGGTATTAGGAGAAGTTACTGTTTAGATGAGCCCCCAGGCATTTGCACTGTGTGCAAACAAGACAGACTTTCTTCTACTCTGAGATTCTGCTTATCTAGATACACAATAGCTGAGTAAAAGCTAAGAGACACACATTCACATACAACCACAATGTTCTGTAAGAACTGCGCCCTTCCTTCCACAGAGCATTGCTGCATAGCGTGGCATCCCCAACAGTCATGACCTATGCACACTTATATGTTACAGAAACTTCAAAGTCTAAGAATTATTAGGAAAATTACTATTTCCAGCCTCACTCCATAATTTACAGCTTACATTATATGAATTACACAGGTGTCCTCAGAGTCTTAATTAAGGATTTCTGTCCAGGCATGAGAATATCGCTCTTTTTTATTGTAACCTTAATTCTGTAACATTTACTGAAGTAAAGAATCAATTACGGTCTCAGGCTTTGCAGAACGCTTTCTGTTAAGAGAAGAAAAAAATGCAAGGTGAGTGCTCTTCCCTAACAGACTGTCAACACATCACGTGGCCGGAGTCCACAATGGACCAACACTGGCCATGCCTGACCACAGCAGTTTGATCAATACCCAGAGTAGATAAGGTTACCAAAAGCAAATACAAGAACAAATTGCCACAGTACAGTGATCCAGAGTGGTGAGGAGCTGAGCACAAGGTCAGGCAAGGTGCAGACAGGTGTCCACTAAGTTTATCAGGGATGTCCCTTGGTCATCTCCTCTGAGGCTAACAGTACAGAGAGCCTCAGAGAAGCAGGACTCCCAGTGTCTGAGCCTACAGCACTCTCATGTGCCTCCTCTGCTCCTGTCAGCACACTGACCTGCACGCCTCTCATAAAGCACTGCATGGGCCCTCACAGAGAACACAAGCACATCATCTAGCGCACATATCTGCTTCTTTCCCACGAAGACTAGTTTTTTATTCTGTTACAGAGTTGAGTCTGGATCACGTTGGCCCACAAATATTTTCTTTAACTTAAGCTAAACAAAAAGCGTATTTTATAGTGGTGCACTATAGAAACTATATCTAATAGTTTATCAAATTATTTGTTTTAAGGTCTATACAATTTAAAAAATGTAGCTGAACTTGAGAGACCTCATGAAAGCAATCTGGATTCTCTTTATAAAGACATTGGTCCAGTAATAATGGGGCCTCTGTTCCTACACTAATGAGGGACAGAACCACTCACCAGCTTGCTCAACTGCCCTTCTCTGCGTGGCTCATCACCATCTGCCACATCTGAAATGCATCTTCCTAACGACCACAGAGCTCAGAGGAGGATCTACTAACCCTCTAACAGGGAGGGACCACTCAAGAGCTGTTTTTCAGGACAGATTACTTTGTTCCCTGATATTACACGTGTGGGGTTGCAGAAATAGCATGACACTTAAGAGCACTGTTGTTCTTCCTTAGGACCCAAGTTCACACCCCAATACCCATACTGGTGGCTTATAACCAACTATTCCGGGAAATCTGACACCAGTGCACATATAAACATGCAGGCAAAACACTCACATAAAGATAAAATAAATACTTATATATTATAAAGATTCCATGTGAAGATTCGGCTAGCATATGAAAATCTTTAAATCACTTCATCTAAATGCTAAAAAATGCAAAAATATTATTATACATCTTAGCATGTAGCTGTTTCTTTCTAGCCGTAGTTTAATGACTCCAACATTTTTAGTGTTATATTACATCTAAAAAATTATGTAACATAAAGACATAAAACCCATTAACGTCACCTTATATGTAAAGCAAAAGTCTCAGTGTAGGAGCACGAGGAGCACTGCCAGCCCAGGCTTCCCAGTGAGCTGACGAGACGAAGCACTAACTACACGACTCACAAGCGGTGCTAGGGAGAAACGCACGCTTCCCTGAGAAATCAACGTTCTTGAGGCAGTATCTCCGTCAGAAAACCACCCGGATGAATATAGTATTTGAGGAGCCTAACTAGGCAACTTAATTAGTGTCTTAGTAGGAGAATTAGTGTGAAAATTAAGACCCTAGACAAGACAGTAGGTGGTAGGTAAACTCTAGGAACGAACAAGGCAAGCTGAAACCAGCTCTGCTCCTCCCATGGGCAGAAGTCTGAAAGAATGCAGTTCTGTGTCTGTTTTGTTTGAGATAGGGTCTCATTTTGCAGTTTTGGCTGTTTTGAAATTTGAAATGTAGACAAGAGCTCTGCCTGCCTCTGCCTCTCAAGTCCTGAGATAAAAGGTGTGTGCCACTACAACGGTCCCAGAATGCAATTCTTTTTGTTTGTTTGTTTTGTTTGTTTTTTGAGATAGGATTTCTCTGTGTAACAGCTCTTGCTGTCCTGAAACTTTTGCTCTATAGACCAGAGTACAATTCTTTATCCATATTTTGCTTATCAAATTGTAATTGCATAAGAACATAACTTCAAACCACGCATCATGTTAACTAAAGTTTGGCTTCCTTGAGATATATCTAACCATAGTATCACAACACAGTCACTTTAGGACTTTAGGCCTTGGGGCTGTCCTCACCTTCTCCCAGTCTTTGGCCTTGCTTTCCCCTTGGAGGTCCGTGGCCTTTCTAGCTTCATCAAAGACTGACGCAGACTCTCCTCTGTATAGGCGAGGTACACGTGGGAAAGATCTACTTCAAAAGGCTACAAGAACGAACACACGAACACACACACATGAAGTTAAATCAGATTTGAGGAAGATTTAAAACACAAACTGACACTGGGCAAAAGACAACAAAATCAAATACCCTTTTGAAGAGAGTCTTCTATCCTACTCTGTAAATGCACTCTAAGTTGGAGAATTACGAGCCCAGACGTAAAGAAAAACTGTCTTCCTTTCTCTAAAACCAGCACTTTGGATGACCTGGGACTGAGGGAAGCAAGGCATCCTAGTCTCCCGCCACATCCCACAGCCCAGAGCAGTGAAGAGGGCACAGCAGAGAGTGACAACAGGCCAGGAGTGACTTTTGCTAAGTGCATGCCCAAGAGCAGACCTGTCCTAACAGCCCCACCCAAGAGCCTCTTCTCTTTTACCAAAGAACAGCTCAGCCCACACACTAGGAACAAGGCAGCAAGCGACTCCCATTCTAGTAAAGACAAACAAGTGTGTAAAGTGCTCTCACGTCTCTCTCCTTCTTGTCAGGCACTGGGGTTTGTTTCCTCATGTTATTTCCTGTGTAGGCCACACATTTCTCAAAAAAGGAAAAGAGGGAAGAGAAATGTCTAAATCAATACTGAGACCTGGGAAGGCCGCTGTAAGCCATCCTGACGGCTCACTAGCAAACATGATGTGAACCCTGGAGCAGAAAGGCTCCAATGTGCTGCCCAGCACCCAGAAGCACCAGGCCTAATGCACTGCCAAGAATGGTCCACCGAGTTCTGATATGATCCACCCAGCACCACCTTCCTCCACAGCAGCCCGCACCAGCTCCACGCCATAATTTCATGCAGGGTGAATACTCACCAGCTGCCATTCTCCTATGTCTTCATTCCAGTGGACATAGTTTTCAATCATTTCCTTTAGAAAGAGTCAAAGCCAACTTTTAGTCAACAGTTAGAACACTGAAAACTATGACCAGAACTGACAGTAGAAATGTGTGGCTCTCCTGTATCTGTCACTAATATTGCTCATGAGAATCCCTCTGACCTCCCCATGCCTTGAACTAAGCTCTTTTTAAGGGCACTTCTCTCTCTCTCTCTCCCTCCCTCCCTCTCATACATAAACACACACACACACACACACACACACACACACACATGCATGACGGGGGTAGGGACAAGTCATGGAAGTCATGGTCCTTATGTGGCGGTCAGAGAACAACTCTATGGAGTCAGTTCTCTCTTTACGTGGGTTCCAGGGGATCAGACTCAGGTCATAGGTTTACAGAATAAGCCTTTATTGCTGAACCATTTGACCCATTAGACCTACACTTCCATCAGTGTTAAGTGAAAAAAGCTGTTTCTAAACATGACATACTGCATCAAGCATTTAAAAATATACAGTCCTTGGGCTGAAGAGTTAGCTGAGTGGTTAAGACCAACTTTTCTGGCAGAGGAAATAGGTTCAGTTCCCAGCACTACACAGTGGCTCACAACAGTATGTAACTCTAATTCCAGGGGACCCGACACCTCTTCTGGTCACTGTGGGCACCAAGCATGTGCATGGTACGTACATACATACATACACACACATACAAGGAAAACATCCATATGCATAAAATAAAAATAAATTTAAAGACACACACTTCTTAAGAACACATGTGGACACTATTCAACTACATAAAAAAAAAAAGAAGCAAAAGTTGAATCCTGGCAATCAGGAGGACGGGCAAGCTGGGCTGGAAGAGGCCAAGGGTAGAAAGGCTGGGAAAGGACTCAGCTAGAAACAGGTCACAGTCTAGCTTTCAGCTAACTTGGGTTATCAGTCACAACATGGAACTGGGACATCCAGGAGTGTACCAGAAACCCAGCACAGACTCAGGGAAACTGAGGTCTGAAGGGAAATTTTCAGAAAAATTTCTCACAGCTTTTCTGAGATTGACAACATTGTGAATCTACTAGAAGGTGGGATGGAGAGATGGCTCCAGGGCCGAGTGCTCACTGCACTTGCACACACCTGTGGCGAATCCCAGCATCCACACTCAGCAGTTTGAGGGGACCCAATACTCTAGCCTAGACTCTGTGCACAAACTCACATTCCCATATACTTAAAGAAAAAGATAAGATTTTAAATTATGCTAGTGATTAACAGCTACCCCGTTTGAAAACGACTAGTGCTGACGGCTGACTGTACAACCAAGTCAGTGTCTTCAGTGTTACTGAACTGTAAAGATGACTATAATGAGCATTTTCATGTTCTATTTTTATACACACACAGAGGACAGCAGCATATTCTGATTTTTTATTTAAGAAAGTAGTTATGCATATACTCCATGTACATGAGTGTTTTGTCTGCATGTGTGTCTGTGCACCACACATCTGCCTGATGCCTGTGAGGACAAAAGAGGGTGTTGGATCCCCAGGGCTGGAATTACAGATGGCTACGAGTTGCCATGTGGGGGTTAGATCTGGATCTCTGAAAGAGCAGGCAGTGCTCTTAACCACTGCCACCTCTCCAGTTCCATCTCTACTTTCTAATAAAATATGTCAATAAATCAACAGGACCTTCACCTAGATTTCATGCATTTACATGAACCAAGATTCTTCCTTTCAGTGGACTGACACATTCTTATTTAGATATTTAGATACTCACAAAGAGAATTGCATTTTAAAGAAAACTAACACCTTTTGTGCTGGCTCGTCTTATGTCAACTTGACACAAGCCAGAGTTATCTGAAAAGAGAGAACCTCAGTTGAAAAACGACTCCATATGATCCAGCTGTAACGCATTTTCTTTGAGACAGGGTTTCACTGTGTAGCCCTGGTTGTCTTCTCAAACTCACTCACACAGACCTGCCTGCCTTTGCCTCCTGAGTGTTGGGATTAAAGATGTGTCCCACCACTGCCTGGCAGGTATTTTTCTTAATTAGTGATTGATGGGAAAGGGTCCAGCCCATTGTGAGTGGTGCTATACGTTGTTTGGTGGGCATGGATTCTATAAGAAAACAAGTTGAACAAGCCAGTAAGCAGCACTCTTCCATGGCCTCTGCATTAGCTCCTGCCTCTAGGTTCCTGGTGTGTTTGAGTTCCTGTCCTGCCTTCCCTCAGTGATGAACTTAATGTGGAAGTGTAAGTTGAATAAATCCTTTTGTCCCCAAGTGGCTTCTGTTATACTGTTTTAGTACAGCAATAGTAACCCTAAGTCACTTTTATATGATGGCGTTAGTTCAAGAAAGCTTTACAGAGGACAGCTGCAAAGTAAACATGTAACATCTTAATTAGTTACACGGGCTTATTCTTTATTCTTTAGCCCTTGCCAATGACCCAATGTCTAAATCAGACTCTCCCCTCACCTGGTAATCCTGAGGTATGAAGTTATCAATAATGAGCATCTGAAGCCGAAGCTCACGGCTGAGCTGCCGAATGTTCTCCAGGAGGCCTTCAATTTCTCTCTGATGCTCTTGCTGGAGATCAGCCATCTACCAGAGAACCCATGACAGTATAAAGCAAACAAGATTTTAAGCAATAAGTCAGGCGGCGGTGGCACATACCTTCAATTGCAGCACTTGGGAGGCAGAGGCAGGTGGATCTCTGTGAGTTTGAGGCCAGCCTGGTCTACAGAGTGAGTTCCAGGACAGGCTCCAAAGCTAAAGAGAAACCCCTGTCTCAAAAAAACAAACAAACAAACAAACAAACAAAACAAGATTTTAATCACAAATACTGCACCTAGCCCAGGACAGGGGTCTATAAGGCCTGGTGAGAACTGGCCAGTTCGTGCACAGACCGACACTGTCACTGGCTAGGCTGTGTCACTTAGAGCCGTGGCAGGACAACACTGCAAACACACAGAAAGGAGTGTTTTAGTGCTTTACAACTGTAACCACACAAAGCTAGGTTGTGGGGGCGGTGGTGGCAGCAGGCAGTAGTCACACTTTTAATCCCAGCACTCAGGTGGCAGAGGCAGGCAGATTTGAGTTCAAGGCCAGCCTGCTATATAGAAAAATTCTGTCTTAAAAAACAAAAACAAAACAAAAAACCCATAAGCTCACATTAAGATTCTCAACTGCATTGTGGGCAGTTTCTAAGACACGAACCTCTGACTTTGCGGCCATCAGCATGGTCCAGACTTTCTTTAATTTCTTGGTCTTTCCCTGCGCCTCCTCTTGCAGACTGGTATATTTTTCCTCAATGTCCAAGCGTTCTTGCTATGATAAGAACAGGTTAAGTTCAGAAAGTTTCAAGTCACAAATTCAATGCAACAAATGATCTAGATGTTTCCTAACTACTGTCTTCAAGTCTGCTTCCACCCTATTTCTGGAAGTTTCCCTCTGGAAAGGGCAGGCATGCCTCACACACCATACTCAACATGGCGTCACCTCTTTCTCCTCGAGTTCTTTCCGAAGTTGCTCAGCTCTCTTCCTCCTCTCCTCCAGCTCCATATTGGACTCCTCAAGAAGCTTCTCTTGCTCCTCAGCTTTGGCCAACAAGTCCACACCACCAACAATGACCTTCTTCTCCAAAGCAGAGAGTTTTTCCAGCAAAGACTGGTGCTCTTGTCTATAAGGAAGAGGAGAGCACTCTAAATTCCTGTCTGCCGCTCTAATCTCACTCCCCCATTGAAGGAGAACTGAAGATGCACTTAGAAAAACTCAGTCATGTGATTTATCTCTCCAAATCACACCACTACATGGCATTAATTCATCAGCTAAGGTATCATTCACATGGGCCAATATTTTCTCCTACAGAGATTAAATGATCAGAAAGACCCAAGCTTTAAAAATATCACACACGGTGGACCCTCTACCCTAAAACAGCGATCTTGGAGACAAAGATCAAGCTTTAGATTATTTTTTAATTGCTTGACTTTCCTGATGCACAGTCCTATGAAGAACACAGAAACTGCAGCCACGAGCCTGTCTGGACCCCACCACACTCACTGGGCTTTCAGAAGGTCCTTCTCCCGTCTCTCCAGTTCAGCTCTAGCCTTGTTTCTTTCTTCTTCTTCCATGTCAAGTTTTGTTTCCAATGCTTTTCTCTCCTCATCAATTTTCGCTTGCATTTCCACCATCTTATCTGGGGAAACTTTCTTTTTACCTATTTGAGTCATGTAATTGCAGCAGTCACTAAAAGCAGTCAATGTTTCAGACATAAGAATTAGCTTAGTATAGCACTGTCTATACCCAGTCAGCAAATGTTAAACTTCCGTTTCTACTTCGTGGTTCCTAGACTTTTTAAATTCATTAATAAATTCAAACTGTTGTCCAACTGTATAATGATATGTAAGGGGAAAACAAAAAAAAAAGGAGAGAAACAAAGTAGATGAGCAGAAAAATAGGGAAAGAAAGTAATAGGAACGCCAAATAAAAAAGCAAAGCTTGTGGGTCCCCAAATGGCAGAGAGGCTAAAAGGGAAAATGATTCTTCAATCATTTTCACAGCCATTATGTAAGTTACTCATTTACAGCAGGTGTTTTACACTGATAAGCTGCACTGGTAAATCACATATGAGCCTCCAAAGTAACTTACTATGTCAACCTAGACCATCAAAGTCCCTAACTCTGATCAAATATGCTAAGAAACAACAGTCAGTAGAAGCAAAACCAACTAATAAGATGGAATGCAGCTTCCAGCTGACTGCAATGCTCAAGCATGCGTAGGTGAATGCAGCTTCCAGCTGACTGCAATGCCCAAGCATGCGTAGGTGTATGGACGCAGCCTGCTCACACAAAGTTCATCCGTGAACCTCAACGCCATCAAGTTAGATGAAAAAAATCAGAAAGAGAAAACAAACACTAGCTTATTAAAACGGTTCTGAAACTGAGCCAATGACAGTTCATTTCTGGCTGATGCAAGTTCTTAGAAACGCGCTCCCTCGGAACAACAAGCATTTCACAGAACTGTCAGACCTGAGGCTCTGCTGAGAGTCTGCCATTCTCAACTTCCTTCCCGAGGGACGAGGATGGAGGATTACAGATTAACGTCTCCACCCCAAACCCAGCTCCTCCTGCTAAGAAGGAAAAGGGACTGAAAAACAATCATGATTGCACCACAGATCTGAGTATATTCTTGTAGGAATCATGAAAGGCAGGGTCATGCACAGGCTTTTTCAACTCAACACAAAATCTCATTAGGAACTCAAGGGTTTAATGGCATCCTTCCTTTTACAGAACCAAAGTCTAAAGCAAAATCTAGGCACAAAACCAAAGAGGAACTAAGAGCTGTGATCCAGGCAGTTGGTGTGGTGTGATTCACTGCACTCCGTGTCAGCGGTGGGCCTCAGTCTACTGGCACAGCCACCTGCCTTTAATGTTCTAAATTACGCTGTAGAAGAAAATTTTTCATAAATAAGTTAACTTCTATTCCCAATTGAATTACTTGAAAAGATTTTTTTATCCATAAAAATTTGAGGAGAAAAGTCTAAGTTGAGGTTTTCAGGAAGTATATGCAACAATAAAACATGTATGTAACTTCCACCTCAGGATTACAAATGTTTAGAGAAAAATTGCAAATACATTAAAACCAAAATAGTGTGTGTAGAAGGCATGGGTACTAAAGGCACAGACAGGTCAATAAATGAATTTTGGACTTTTAGTGTTTTGTTTTGCTAATGTTATAAAGAGTTCCAAGCCGGGCGATGGTGGCGCACGCCTTTAATCCCAGCACTCGGGAGGCAGAGGCAGGCGGATCTCTGTGAGTTCGAGACCAGCCTGGTCTACAAGAGCTAGTTCCAGGACAGGCTCCAAAACCACAGAGAAACCCTGTCTTGAAAAACCAAAAAAAAAAAAAAAAAAAAAAAGAGTTCCAAAAACCCATCAGGAGGGAGTAATACAAAAGGGTTGCCCATAAAAATATATAAACACTGTCTCTTGATGAACTGATTGCCTTACATAGTAATCCCTTCAAACCCATGTTTTAGAATCAGGTGTCTCACTGTGCACGAGGGTTTTACAAAGACACTCTCTACACATCTAGGGTCAGTTCAAAAGTCCACACATTCAAGTCCCATGTGGCTCTAGGCAGAAACACCGTGACAAGCCATGGTATTATTTTTCAAATAACACTTTAAGTTAAATGTGACTGCGTAAAAAGTAAAAATTTGGTGACCCGTAGTTACTTGTACATAGACCTTTAAGGCATACCTTGATGCCTTAATCCTGAGCCTGTGCTCCCCTGTGTACAAGTCTTAGCCTCCACTGGGAAGGAGCTGCAGGAGCCTGAAGTGGTCTGTGCCCCTGTGCAGCCACTGAGCACGTCCATCCCTCCAATGGGATAAGAGACTACATGTGCTTCTAAAGACATTTTTAAAAGGAGATGGGGGCGTAGCTCAGTCCTTGGCCACCAGGTGCAAAGCCCTGGGTTCCTTCCCAGGACAATACATACATACACAGTCTCCTCAACCAAATCAACTTAAAAAAACAAAACAATCTCAGAAACTTTTCTAGTTCCCCATGATAAAACTTTGCACAAAAATTTTAAGTAAATAAATCTAAAAAGGCAGCTGGTGACACAGACTTTTAACCCAGCATTTGGGAGACAGAAGCAGAAGGATCTCTGTGCGTTCAAGGCCAGCCTGGTCTACAAATTGAGTTCCAGGACAGCCAGGGCTGTTACTCATAGAAACCCTGTCTAAGGACAAAAAAAAGAAAGAAATCTAAAAAGGCATTCTGATGTCAAAGGGAGGTAGTGAGCCTTTTCCTTCCCCTTTGCCAGGTGCTACCTGAGTGAAGGTGACCTGGCAGGTGGGTGTAAGGGTAGCACTAATGTACCGGCATCACAAGCACCCATGGTGTGGACTCTTGGCCTGAATGTCAAATCAATTATAAGTGTATTTTCAAAAATTGGTTTAGTAGATCATTAAGGATTTAGGGGAAAAGTTTTTTAAAATAGTTAAAATGGAATTTAAAAAAAAAAGACAGATACTTACCTTGTAAAAATTATTAAATTAAAAAAAAATGTGAAGAACTTAAATAAAAGGTCTTGAGAGAATGAGTAGCTGCACCACGTGGAGTGCGAGCCAATCACACCAACCTGCTTGGTCTTGCAAAGAAGCGGTAAGCGAGTCGCAGACAGGAAGCATGTGCACAGAGATGAGGAGGGAAGAAAGGAAAACATTATTTCCTTTGTAAAACAGAGAAAACGTGTAACAGCATTCACTTGGCATGAGCAAAGACATGAATCAAATAATCAAAACTGAAACAGAGTCCACAGAAAAAGAAAGCATGTTCCATAAGAAGACACCACGAATGCTAGACGCAATCAATCCCCTCTGCGGTTCCCACACAATCCCAGGTGCCCACAGTGCCCCTGCAAGTGGACCAGCTCAGTGCATATGCTGATGGATTACAGACATGGAATTGGGAACCTACTGAGACCTGCAAAAACATCTAAAAGGGCAAAAACAAAAATGAAGTCAATTTTTAAAATTCGCAAGTTGAAAGCAACAAAGCTCTCACTGTCCATCTCCCAAATTTCCCAATTCAATGTTTCTCCTATAAAGACACATTACAGGTGTTCCCCATTTTAAGAAAATCCACCAGGTAGACCTGAAGTAACTACACAGATAAACTATTTTGCACAAGTTTATACTGGTCGTGAGATTAACAACAGGGTTAATGAATTTTAAAGGCAGTAAGTTCACAATATTTTATTTCCTAACTTTATTTTTAAGCAGCTCTCTCTAAATACGTAAAATGAAGTGCACCTGTATAGTAGCAAACTTACATTCAGCCTACGTGTTGATTGTTCTGGGTGATTAAATAATGACTAGATAAATAAATGACAGCTGATGATTCAAGCAAGGGACATTGAATGGCCATTCATATTTAATGGGAGGGTAATACACACAAGTTACACACAGCAACCACATGCTGGGACGATAATTTCTCCACCTCCCCAACGCATCCATGTTATGACAACAAAGTTAAATGCTAGGTATGAAAACAGCAATTAAAGCTTCTTGAATTGGAAAAAAAAAGTCTTGAATTGAATAAGGTACAACTCATTTTGTAACTTACTTTCATATAACTACTCTCTAAGAATGGTAAGTGTTAGAACAGAAAACTAAATTACAATGCTTCCTCTCATATATTTTCTCTCATTTCACAGTTTATAATACAAAACTGTGCTTCTATGTGGTGTCTGAACAATGCCATGTATTTTATAAACTATCCGGTGAGGTCAGCTGTTCTGGTAATTTGCTTCAACAGTGTCAACAGACACAGTGTCTTGAGCTTCCTGAGATTTTCCCTAGTAAAGCTAAAAGCAATGGCCTTTGCCATTAGTCTGGAAAAGGTAAGGACACAGATAATGCTTTAAGAGACAGCAAGCTGCAAGGTGGTGAAAGCAAGCATCACTTCCATTTTCTTCTGAAAGTAGAAATAGACAAAATTAAATAATGCTTTTTAACTTACAGTTAAAAAAATATCTAAGACTAAAGAAGTCTAGACAGACTTTATGCACTCTGTGTGACTCCGAATTTTCTAATCACATCTCAGAAAGAGTCTCAAAATTGACCGATATCAGGAGTGGGGAAGCATCCAGTTGGGATGAAGCGCTACTCGGTCTTCTTCACCTGCCTCAGGCTTCGCTCATCCTTTATTTGGAGCACACATGGCCTGTTACACTGGGCGCCGCTGCACCAACAAACATTAATTTGTACTCGTAGAGATTCAAGATGTGTTGTTCACATCTGTTACACTGACCAGAATTAAAAACATATAATGAAGCATAAAATAGAATCCTGAGAATTATTCTTTCACACAGCTCGCTGGCTCTCTTGGCATTATCTCAGCAGCAAAAGCATGAGTCTTTCCTCTACTGTCTCAAACATGGGCTCTGGCCTATGTTTCAGTCAACTGAAGCCATGGCAGGGTGGGGCCACATGCTTTCCTCCTGGGAGCCCAACATGAACCAGTCATGACAGGGAGTGGGGCAGCATCTCTCAAATGAAGCCCATGAGTGATGGAGAAGCCAGAGCTCTGTTAGAGAAGGTGAGGGCCGCCACTCACGAGGCAAGAACTCATCCAGAGGCTTCTCTATGACAGAACATGTGGAGTCTGAGCTACTGCTGCTGCTACTGCCTGGAAGACAAAGAAACGAGCCCACGGAACCAGAGAGAGGGAACAAGAAATGAACAAAAATACACAGAGAAAACTTGAGTTCTGTAGGAAGAATTTAGAGGACAATCAAGCTTTGCATTCAAGAGCGACTCACTCTAGCTTACAACTAAGTCCAGCTGCTTCCCTGTCACAAAGCCATGCGGGATTATAACTGCATTTCTTTACAGATCCGCAGTAGTGCAAACCCCACTACTAATCTGAACATAATTATTCAGAGGGTTGAAATGACCAAAATGTCACCTAGTGACATGCAAGTCTATACACACTGCTAAGAAAAAGAAACAGCTTTAAAATGTAAAAAATCACACAATTCACATTACTGAAATCAGCCGCCCTTCATTATAGACAAGGCAATGTCTCCAAGTCCCCACCCCCCCCAAAACACGCTACCAGATTTTACTTATGTCTAAAGCTTGACAGCATAATTAACAAGGCTCAGAGAAAAATGTTAAGCTTCTCAGCACAAGTTAAAACATATTTAAAATATTTTAACATATTAAACCGTGGCACTTTTTTTCTATATAAATTTATTTTTAGTAAATCTACTCTCAGTTCAAGTAAAAAAAAAACATTATTTTACTCTGAAAAACTAGCTATGAATAAAAACACTTTTTTTTGTTTTTGTTTTTTTTTTTTTTCGAGACGGGGTTTCTCTGTGGTTTTGGAGCCTGTCCTGGAACTGGCTCTTGTAGACCAGGCTGGTCTCGAACTCACAGAGATCCGCCTGCCTCTGCCTCCCAAGTGCTGGGATTAAAGGCGTGCATCACCACCCGGTTAAAAACACTTTTTAAGTCAGGGACTGATAAAGAGTTTTTGCAAAGAACCAGGTCAAGTGTTTTGATGTGAAAGAGCCATAGATCACACATAAACAAATGATTGTGGCTGCTTTAAGAACACTTTAAAAAAAAAAAGGCTCCACATGGATTTGGCCAGCACACTGTACTCTGCCAACTTCTGCCCTACTTGGTGCTTTTTCTGTCTTCTGGATGTACAAAATCTTCAGTTTTTAATTTGGGCTCCCACCGAGCAGTGATGGGCTTGTTTTCACCAAGACTGATTAACTATGACTGTGCAGCAGCCCGCAGGAGCTGAGGAGCGCTTGGGGTTTGAAATGAGGCAGGGACCTTCTTTTCTTTATGCCCTCTGTAGCCTCAGCAAAGCAGTTCATGCTGGAAGCTGCTCCAAAGGGTGAGGATGCCACACAGTTTACAAAGAAAGAACTTGGTGGGGGGAGGGGGAGGCAGTGGTGGCACACGACTTTAATCCCAGCACTTGGGAGACAGAGGCAGGAGGATCTCTTTGAGTTCAAGGCCAGTCTGGTCTATAAGGGCTAGTTCCAGGACAGTCAGGGCTGTTACACAGAGAAACCGTCTCAAAAAAACCAAAAAAAATTAAAAAAAAAAAAGGATGGACTTCAGTGAAAAACTGTATTTCTCACACAAGCTCACCACCTGCAAATTATTTTTAAAGGCTAACAACATCACTTTAAGAAAAATCCCACGTTATCCTAGTTTCAAAAACCGATAGGGACCTAACACAGATGTAAAACTGGAAGACAGTATATCTCCTACCACAGTTTCACAACTTAAAATTTTACAGGAGACGATATGGCATCCTGGGTAAGCAAACATAACCAGAGAGAATGTTTACAAAGTTAACCATATACAGCATAAGTTCCCTGCTGGAACCAATACCATAGTTAAAAATGCCAATATAAAGTGGACATCATCGGGGAACAATTCTAGCCAGCTGTGAGCAATCAGAACATGAAGAGAACTTACCCCTTCTCTTCTTCCTCTTCTCTCCATCTTCTCCAAGTTCACCCTCCTCATTATCATCCTCCTCCGACCCACTAACGTCAGAGCCTGAAACTTCTTCCCCTTGGACAGAAATTTAACCATTTTTAGTCTGTACCAAGTCCCTGGCTATTTAGAAAAGGCCTATATTCATTCAATTCATTACATTTTTGTTGCTCAAACACAAATTGAAAATCTACCTAAATGTTCACAGTGTACCTGACAAGCAGGTATACACTGGTGATCTCTGGGGTTTGCTCACAAGCCAGCCCAGCCTACTTGGGGAGTTCCAGGTCCATGAGAGAGCCTGTCTTCCCCTTGCCCACCGAAACAATGAACAGTACTTGGACACATTCTGTTATCATCTCTAAGCATGCACACATGCACATATTCACATGCAACCTCACACACATGTACACAGAAATTTTATTTTACTTTCTTAGAAAAATTAAATTTTTTTATTTTTTAGACTTTTGAAATCTTTTCAAAAACAAAACAAACAAAAAAGTCCTTTAATGCCTTTGCCTACCGAACATAGGATCAGAAGAATAAAAATGAAGTCGAACACATCACAGAGAACATGACTATACGACTACCTCTGGCTGCGTGTCCAGCACATACACAGGGACTAGAACATGTCTACCCAATGTGCACAGCCACACCATCACAAGGACTAAGAGAACTCCTGGCGGTGGTGGCGCACGACTTTAATCCCAGCACTTGGGAAGCAGAGACAGCACGTGGATCTTTGAGTTTGAGGCCAGCCTGGTTGGTCTACATAGTGAGTTCCAGTACAGCCAGGGCTACTGAGAGATACCCTGGGGAGAAGGAGAAGGAGAGAAAGAGGGAGGAAAGGAGGGAGGGAGGAAGGGAAAGGCAAAGAGAGGGGAAGGAAATGAAATCATCAAAATGAAGGCATGCATTCAGCACTAACTAGGGGAATAAAAGATCTTAAAAACAAACTGGCTACAAATGCCACCTAGTGGCCATTTAAAAACACAACTTTACTATCTGTGAAGTGGTTCTCAGGCTTTTTCCCCAGACACACCAGTGGTCTCTGGGTCTTCCCCCAGAGACTCCAATGGCTTAGACTCCAGGCCCTTCACCTGCTGTACAGGGAGTCTATACCAGTCAGAGAGGGTTCATCCCCCTGTAAATGGCGTGGGAGTTCCAGAACTGATCAGGAAGCTCTTCATCACCATCAGCTGGACTTCAAACTTTCCTGTTTTTGTTTTGTTTTGGTTTTTCAAGACAGAGTTTCTCTGTGTAGTCTTGGCTGTCCTGGAACTCACTCTGGCCTCGAGCTCAGAGATTGGCCTGCCTCTGCCTCCCAAGTGCTGAGAATAAAGGCGTGCACAGCTGCCACCACCATTAGGAGCTGGGACTTCAAACTTTGTAATCTAGATGGTCTTCGAAAACATTTTCTTGCCAGGCAATAGTAGTGCATGCCTTTAATCCCAGCATTCAGGAGGCTGAGGTAGCAGGCGGATCTCTGTGAGTTTGAGACCAGACTGATCTATAGAGCTAGTTCCAGGACAGGCTCCAAAGCTACACAGAGAAACTCTGTCTCGAAAAACCAAAAAGAAAAAAAGAAAAAAAAAACAAAAACAAAAACATTTTCTTAGAAGACTCATATTCCTCAGAAATAGTATTTTTAAATGTCAATGTTACAATTTAACAAAGGGCTCAGGAGGTAAAATATTTGCCCTCTAAGTCTGCCATGAGTTCAATCCCAAAAACCATAATGCAAGAGAGAATCAGCTCCCACAGGCGTCCTCTGACCTTCACACATACACCATGGCATGAATGTGCTTGCACTCACACATGTCCAACACACACAAATGCACATGCTTAAGGTATTAAGTGTCAATGCTAGAGGCTAGTGCTTGGCAGGTTGTTCTGGAAGTAAATGCAGTGGTCACCAGCAAGCCTCAACTACAGTAAGCTTTGTGAGAAGTTACCTTCCTCAAGCTTTCTCTTCAGCTCTTCTATTTCTTTCTGGAACTGACGAAGCAGAGCGTCCTTAGGGTCTTCGTTAATTCTCGCTTTGTTTTTAATGTTCTTGGCTCGGTTGGCATACCGCAAGGTACTGATGGTTTCATCGTAATTATAATCTGCTGGCCCAATATTTGCACACTGTTGAATTAGAAACGTAAATCATTCTACACAGCTACTAATATCATCATTACTAAAACAAATGCCCAAACTAGATAGACGGTTTGGTCTTCGAAAAACCAGTATCAATCATATAGGTATGGAAACAATACAACCACAGGCAATTACATTTTGTAATACACAAAGAAAAGGAATTGATTTGTAAAATGCTATTCACACCAATTATGGAAATAAATTAGAATCTTAAATTTGCCTTAGACAAATTAACTATGCCATGACTGAAGTCTTACCATCATGGTTTTTGAGTTCCCTCCCAAGGAATCCTGCAGAAGACGCGTCAGTTTAGAGTTCCGATATGGCACATGCGTGCTTTTTCCATCCACCAAGGCAGAGATGACATTGCCCAGGGTGGAGAGTGAAAGGTTGATTTTTGTAGCTTCCTTGAGGCGCTGTCCCGTGGCTCCAGTTTTCGCTTGTCTTTCTGACCCCTAGCAATAAACAGATAAAAACTAAAGTTTTTTTTTTAAAACCAAGAAGTACTTTTCTAAAATCTGGGTTTTTAAAAGTAATTTAAAATATCCCATGTAGCATCTGGAATTCACTTCAAAACAATAAGGGAAGAAGGAAGAATAGACAAAAAAGTCTAGGAAGTAGGTGAAAAAAAGCACAGTCATAATGCTACTATGTCTACTGTCAGATATCCCACAATAATAAGCAATTTAAAATCACATGTACACCATGCCTTTTGGCTTTAATTTTTATTAACAGATAACTGGAGCACAAGAACAACTCTCCCTTAAGTAGTAGCATCCTGTGGGCTAGAAAAATGGCTCAAAGGTTAAGAGCACTGAATGCTCTTCCAAGGGTGCTGAGTTCAATTCCCAGTGCTAACATAGTGGCTCACAACCAGGTGTAATGAGATCTGGTGCCCTCTTCTGGTCTGCAAGCACACATGCAGGCAGAACACTGTATACATAATAAATAAATCAATCTTTAGGGGAAAAAGTAGCGTCCTGTTACTTACAGCGAGATCCACAAGATGGAGCTTCCCCATCCTGACATGCATGTTTCCATCAACACCTTTCTCGCTACACTCTATAGTAATTGTAAAAATAGCATGGGACCTTGAACTGTGCTCATTCATGTTAGTTGCACCAACAGAACCTTTAACAAAGAAAAGAAACCCTTAAAAACTGTAACAGAATGCCTTTACGTTTACTTTTTTTTTGTTTCCACAGGGTGTTCTGTAGCCCAGGCTGTCCCTGAACTTTGATCTCCTATCTCTCTACCTCCTGCACCACCACACCCAGCTTATGGAGTGCTGGGGATTGACCCAGGACTCTGTGCATGCTAGATAAGCACTCTACCAACTGAGTTATCCTCAGCCATCTGTAATGAGATCTGGCACCCTCTTCTGGCCTGCAGGCATACATGCACACAAGAATACTGTGTATATAATAAACAAACAAACAAACAAATAGATAAATAAATAAATGGGAAAATAATTGCTGACAACTCTTTCCAGAGAGAATTTTGTTTGGGACTCTAAACCACAGACTGATTTGCACACACACATTAGAAATCAGTACAACACTATTTAAAACAGTGAGACCAGAAAGATCCAATACAATATTGTTTAATCTACTATAGAATAGTTAAGTCACTAATCGGTCATTAAAAACATGATGTGGGGTTGGAGAGATGGCTCAGAGGGAGAGCATTGTCTGCTCTTCCAGAAGTCATGAGTTCAATTCCCAGCAACCACATGGTGACTCACAACCATCTGTAATGAGATGTGGTGTCCTCTTCTGGCATTCAGGCAAACATGCAGACAGAACACTTTATATATAATAAATAAAATAAATCTTTAAAACACACACACACACACACACACACACACACACAGGATAGATCCATATCCACCAGTATCAAAAGATGCCAATTCCACAGGAACTTTGTTAAACCATGAAGAGTTTGGCATGGATAGTGCATGTCTTTAATCTCAGTGCTTAGGAGGCAGAAGCAGGTGGAACTCTGTGAGCCAGGTTCATCTATATATCAAGTTCCAGGCCAACCAGAACTACCTGTGAGACTTTTGCTAAAATCAAAAGTAAACAAACAAAAATTTTAACGCAAGCTAAACAATCAGTGTAGAGGTTCATTCTTTTAATCTAGTACTTAGGAGGCTGAGGCAGGAGGATCACAAGCTTGAGGCCAGTGTGGGCAAGACAATTCTGTCTGGTCTAAAACTCCCTCTGTAGACAAAGCTGGCCTCAATCTCAGAAGCCCATCTCCTCCGCCTCTTGAACACTGGGTGTGGAAGGCCATGGGAATGTAGAGCAGTGACAACTAACTAGTGTTTAACAAGCCAACTCATCTAGAAAGGCCATGGGGTCACCGGCTCTGGGAACCAATGCTCCTGTCTGTAGTTTCTCATGAGTCACTTCATTTCTTCCCTAATAACTTCATTTCTTCCCTAAGAACAGCTCTGGGTGCATTCCCACTGCTTGTGTGTTTATCTCATGAAAATATTCCATCCACTGGGCACACATAGCTGTGGATGGTCAGGAAGATGACTTCTACTATTGTATAATTCTGATGAACAGAAATAATACTAGAATATTTTACATTACTCAGACTGACACAGGGTTCTCAGTCACAAAGACAGCCTTTTACACAGTAACTTTAGACTTCAGA